CACTGGCATCCGCCATTCTCTGTTTTTACCTTACACTTACCAACATTAAAAATGGTTGTTTGATGCACATTCCTGACACCCACAAGAGCTTCCCAAGTACTGATGTAGAACCAAATGGCTCTACATAAATATTTATTAAACCCTAAGTTTGATTTTTTTCAAACAAATTTTATTTGATTTTTTCATATAAAACTACAAAAGAAAAATGAAACAAACATACTATCAGCAGGTTACATACGTGTGCATATCCGTATTCATTATACATCAGACGTGTAGGATGTGTCAGGGTACCCGTGCTATCCGCTCCCCTGTTAAACTACAGCTTATCAGGAACAAACTCTATGTAATTTCTGGATCCAGTAGGGGCTGAGGCTAGGCCAAGTATCTGGCAGGTGGGAGGTAATCAAATCCTGCGCCAATCGCAGGCTCCCCAGCGTGTTCGACACATCTGCCTCTAAATACCATTTTGTATATCTAAAGGGCTGAACCATGTGAGTTATTTCCATTACCGTTAAGGTTTTTACAATGAAATGTTTCCATCTTTTGAAGAAGGATGAGGCCTGTTTATCTGTGTGCATTTCGGCCTCTAGTCTTTCCTTGGCCAGTAACGCTGTCAAGTCCTTAATAATTTCTTGTACCTTAGAGGCCGATGGGGCGTTCCAGTGTCTCATGAGACATCTCCTAGCCACCAGGAGGCAGATGTGCACCCAGTCCAGTCCTTTATATTTGGTCTGACCTCGATTGTTGGTAGAACAGTCCAGGTATCCAAAAAGGCACAATGAGTACTCCAAGCCTGGTTTCCAGGAAACAATAGTGCTGATATATGCAAGAACTTGGTTCCAAAAGTCCGATATCTCTGGACACCCCCAAAAGCAGTGATGTAGGGTTGGGCGTTGGAGTCCACATTTCGGACATATCGATATTGGTTGGTGTAATGAGGAAGGCGTCGTTGCTGGAACAAAGTAAGGGACGTAGGCTCGATGTAAAATTTTGAATTGGGTCTCCCTCCAAATTTCGTTTGTTATTATTGATCTCGTCTTGGTGTACCCCTCAAGTATTTTAGGTAACAGATCCGGATCATCAAAGTCTCTTGACCACCCTTTCACACTTGACCCTGAGAGGGGGGAGTATAAATAGTGTTTGTAGTCTTGGGTATAGTTCCGAAATAGAATATGTTTTGTTTGATACAAGGGTGTCCAGAAATGATGATGAGAAAAGGGATCTCGGCTTACCCGAGACTGTGTCACGCAGTCTTCAGCTGTAGGTAGTGTAGAAAGTCCTGGGGGGGGATACGATATTGCTGTATCAGATCCTTGAAAGAGTAAGGGGTGAAGGTTTGAGGGTCAAATAGTTGTTTCCAGAGATGGAGGCCCTTCTTTTTCCATTTGTGGAATGCTGAGTAATCTAAGCCTTGAACAAATGAGGGGTGCCCCGTGATGGGACAGTGTGTGGACATACATAAAGGCAGTTTGAAAGATTTCCTGATCTCTCGCCAAACAGTAATTGTGTCCCTAATAAATGAAATGTGTCGAATGCGCTGGGGTAGGGCAGCTAAGTTTGAGTTAATGCTAGTATGCATTGATATGTTTGTAGTCCTGTTCTCAATCATATGTAATGCCCCCCCTCAAGGGGGATGAATGCCAACAAGTTAGAACTTCAGGATTCAGCATCCAGCTATACTTAAGCCTTACAGACAGCTTTAAAGTAGCCCTAGCATCATATATATTTTCGATTGTTAAGCGCATGCATACTAAGTAAGGTGCAAGTGTAAAACATAGAGGTATTTGAGTGTCTGTGCAGCTGTTAGCTGTGTTCACAGATGTCTAACACAGATCAACCTCTGTTGCAGCCTCTCCTCTTTTGGCTTGCTACAAAGCTTACAATATAAAGTCTGAAAAATGAAAAAGAGAAGACTGAAAAAATGTTCTCTCCTAATTACAGCAGACTGATGATATCATCTCAGCCTAGGCAGTCACTGAACTTAAGCTCCAGAACTGTTTTTTTTTTTTAATGAATGTATTATTACTGTATTTTGTGACATATCTTGCAGATTTAAAGCTGCATGGAGATCCACAAAATAATCTAAAAATAACATACAGCTGGGACAGAGGGTCCTCCTTTTTATACAATGGTGAGGGCCACATGGGATAAACAATAATCTCTTCAATTGAATGTTTGGGAGATGCCGTTAAGCTGTGTGTGGTATTACAGAACAGTATGATGCTCATCAAAAAGTTGGGATGCTGTGTAAAATCTACATAAAAACAGAATACAATGATTTGCAAATCTCAAAAACCCATATTTTATTTACAATAGAAAATAGAAAACATATCAAGTAACATATATGTTTAAACTGAAAAAAATATACCCTTTTAAGAAAAAAATAAAGCAATGTTGAAATTGATGGCAGCAACATATCTCAAAAAAATTGGGACAGGGCAAGAAAAAGCTGACAAAGTAAGTGGTACTAACAAGGAAGAGCTGGAAGAACATTTTGCAACTAATTAGTTTAATTGGGAACAGGTCGGTAACATGATTGAACATAAAGGTGCCCATACACCTTACGATTATCGGACTAAACTTTTCGTCCGATGATCGAACCGTCGTACGATTTTCGTACGACGGCCCCATCCTGCCCCGATTATCGCAAGGTTCAATCAGCGGTAGTTAGAAAAAAACACCTGGACGACTTGCGGTAATTGACCGCAATTATTTTCGTTTGCGCATGCGCAGTGTTAATCGTACGACTTTTGACGGACGGAAACGCCACCAACC